CACGAGGTCCGCCGGCTCGACGCCCGCGTCGCCCGCGCCCAACCCCTCACTCTTATCCGCAATTGCGGGATGCTACGCAGATGTGCGTGATTAAAAAAAAAACCCTTGACCTGGGTGGTGGTGGGAATCTGCGGGGGAACAATTAAGCACGAGGGAGGCTGGATGCGCGACTGCAGGGGCCGCGCGGTCGCCCTCGCTCTGCAACAAGGCTCTTCCCAGAGCCCCCCTCGCTGACCTCCCGCGCCTTCGCCTCCTCGCCCTCCCCGTTTCGCCCGTGTCGCTCAGGGAGCTCTCGGGCGATGGGGGCAAGCTGACCTTCACCGGCCTCGTTTCTCCAGGCCTCCTAGATGGGTCGGAGTAGATGGGGCTGGAGGGTCGCGCCGCATCGCCGATGCATCCACGCTGCAGCTCGGTGCGGAGCCCGATGTTCTCCACGACGACGTCGCCGATGCGCTGCCGACGTCGGCGATGCATCGCCGATGCGTTGGCTATACGGCGCGGTCCTCCAACCCCATCTACTCGCACCCCATCTAGGAGGCTTCTGGTTTCGCCCATGTCGCTCAGGAAACACTTTTTGATTCGCGGGTCGAGAGCGAACCTCTTCCGGTCGAAGCTAAGCGGGCCGCGCGAAGCTTGAATCAATCAGAGATGGGGGAGGAAGTCGCTCAGGAAACACTCGGGCGATGGGGTAAGCTAACTCGTCTGCGCCCTGTCGAGGGCCTCAGGCCAGGGCCGTTCTCAGTCCGGCCCGGGGTCGGCCCGAGCGGCGAAATTCGGCCGCCGAGAGCTTCGGGGCGCCAGCGCCTCCAGGTCCCTCGCCCGACAGCGGTACTCCAGCGATGCTCCCTGCTTCTGCTCGGCATCCTCCTCCGCCTCCTCCTCCCTTCTCCTCCTCCTCATCCTCCTCCACCTCCTCCTCCTCCTCCACCCCCTCCTCCTCCTCTTCTTCGTCCTCCTCCTCCTCCTCCTCCTCCTCCTCCTCCTCCTCCTCCTCCTCCCCGCCCCTTGCTTCAGAGCGCGTTCCAGCGCATGCAGGGCGCGTCCCAGCGCGACTCTGGGGGGTAGTAGGGCTGGA